AATGCACTTCAAGATAAGAGAGTCGCATAATCACTAATCCCAGAAGTTGGATTCGCCATTTACCTTTATGATTATGTGACCCTTATTCTGTAACGACCTGTCTCGTAACCACAAGTACGAAAAAAGTCCGCAAACCAGGAAAAGTCGAACGATAAAATGAAGACTTTGATATGCTTCTCATGATCATTTGGAGGATTACAGACGATTCATTTGGATATCTTGATGTGAGCACACGTACTATAGTGAGAAGTCTATATTCCATAAACTTGTTAAAAAATCGAGTTGATTTCAGCCACAGCAATCACAGGTATCTCTATTGTAGAGGATTATTTCATCTAAGCCTTTTACGCTCGGATGTGGTGTGTCATCTAGGTATGTCACACTGCACTTACGAAAATGATGACTTACATAGGTGCAGAGACAATATTTTCGTTCCATAAATTCTCGCTCATATTCGGTTTAATTTATTGAAATATGAGGGAAAATGAATAAATACGTTTAGTCTGAGTAAGAAATAAATGCTTCGGCTTAGTCAGCTTCTGTTATTTTATAATGTTGTTAGCTATTTCCTTGTCTAAAAGAGGTAAACTCTAATACTGTCGTAATGACTTTTTGAAGTCTTTGAACTGATAGTGGAACAATAGCATTTAACATCAGAACATGCCAATACTAACAACGACATTCTTGATGACAAGCGAATCTAGCTGATTAACATGACAGCTTATAAACTGCTGATAATTATCAAACAACGAAAGAGCGTATGTGGAAGAATTTAGTTTCTCATAGATAAAATGAATGAACCGTGATCGAAAATCCCTTGTAACGTGATAATAATGATAACTTTGCTCGGGAAACTGATAAAAAATAGTAAAACAAAAATAAAGCTGGGAAATAAATGCTCTGAACTAAAATTTCCGACTATATATGGACATTATTGTCATGTCAGCTATAAATCAATTTATTATGAAGTGAGTGATCTTGAGCTTTCGAAATCAATACTTCTCACATTACTACTAATACAGATGTTCTTTTGAAATAAATGCATGTTAACAAAATAGTAATTTGAGTGGTACATATTCGACTATCAGGGCCACTATAGCTTGTGACAAAATGTACTGATTATTTTTTGTGCAAACCTGTAAGAAGAGTGGCAACAGTGCTCAGTGTTATGTCAGCATCCATGCTGCACATGTAGTGGAACGCTTCTACGAAGAAAATACGATTTGTGAAAAATAAACATTATCGTGCTCGTTTTGTTTAACTGTACCAAAAAACACGCGCAACGTTCCCTTCGCGTTGCTGCCATTTTTCCAAATGCCCTGCTCCCCATGTAATGCCAACATTCTCCTTCAATAAAATATTCAACCGTGGATTTATTTTGATTTTAATGATGACTGGACCGTACGGAACATTTAGTGGTGAGCTTAGTCAATCTGGTATCTTGACTCGCTCACTACACACGTGTCACATATTCACTTGCGTTCAGACTCTCTGAGTCTTTTGTAAGCCATGTGCGTGCTCCTTTAATCCAAATAACTTTTAATTGATCTCGAGAGCGATGTCTGACCCAAAAAGCCGAAGTAGCTGCGTAAAACAGGTGATATCCCGTTGAGTAAGAATTGGTTGTTTGCTGGGACTAGTGGTGGAGCAATCGCAATTACCCTAACTTTTAATTATTTTGTGTACATACCAGAATGTCGAACCACATCTTATCCTCTTGGCTGTATGTTTACCGTAAAAAAAAGTGTGTGACACTCAGCACCTGTTACACTGTATACGACAAATGATGGTAAACAAGCAGCCAGATTGCCTACATATGTTATTAGAGATCAGTGTGAAACATAAGCTATCAACTTTATATGGAAAAGTGGACGATGACACGAGAAAAAGCGCTGTATACTCGGAGTAAGAAGAAAGCAGGAGTATACTAAATACGGCCTTCCACTTTGAAAGACTGAAAACAACCACAATCTATTGAACAATAAACTCCAAATAGATTCGTCGGATGGTAGACGCCCCTCATGTTTCTTCTGGATGCATGTCTGATTAGTACTTATCATCATTAAAACACATGGTCTGATTTATTCAATCCAAAAAGCTTTTCGAATTATTCAAATCTTTCTAAGAGTTTGACGAACCTTTGTCAAGAGTGGATGGTCATCTGCAAGTTCCGTAAGTCCGACAAAAGTCTAATAGGGCAGAGGGGCGTAATTTTAAACGGAACATTATCGAAATGAGATGACAGTCTAAATGTTAGCATCGCATGCAGGTTCTTTTGGAAACTACGAAAAGTGGTGCTGCCAGATAATAAGTTATTATTGTTAGGATATCCACTAAATATCCTATGAAGAGTCATTTTGTGAGTGTAAATTTTTTTGGTCGATTCATATTATTCAATAATATGGTCGTCCTAGCTACCAAGGTCACGAACATCAATGTTGTTTCATATTGGTCGTCCTGACTATCATTATCAATTCAAATGTTTTCTTCTATTGGTCGCCTTAACTGACCCGGATCCTTAGTCCGGGATCCTGATTCTCTTCTGGACTCGGACCTCGTACTTTCTGGATGTCCTACTTCAAACCGTGTCTTCTTCTTTTACTCAATGTGGAGGTTGGGACACTCGTATAAGAGTAGCATGTCGTGTCGCCAGATCCTCGATCCTCGCTCTCGTTTTCCGACTAAGGTAACACGTAATAGTTCAAACATATCAAACTGACATGTTTACGTGCAGGCGTAACGATTATTATGCCTCATTAACTCGAATTAGAAATCCCTTTACGGTTCGCTTAGAAGATCAATCTCGTGACTCAGTGAAATTTCACGAAGCATATAAAGTTATGATTAAGATATCAAGAGATTCAGAGAGAGTGTATGCTGTAATATGACGTGTTCTTCGAAATCAAAGTCTTCTCGTCAACCTCTGAACATTAATAGGAAACAGTCCGGCTTTCGATAACAGGTTGCGAATTCCGGGGTTGGTAGTGGATCGAAAACCCAAGATGCTAGCGACAGAATTAGAGAAATCTCAAAACTCAGGGGAACAGTGTGTGAGCGTAAGTAGGGAAACGGAAACACCTTAGCTCTAAATACGCTACAAATCAAGGAAAGGGAAGGTAAACGAAATCCACTAATTTTATTTCTTGTTTCAATGATGGAGTGTGGATTACTTTGCTAAATAACAGTGGAAGAGACTGTACAATGTTTGATTGAGCAGTACGCCGGTCAAACTATGCTGTCCGTTTGAGTGTCACAGTGTAGCTAGAATAAAACCCATTTACTGCGCTTAACTTCACGTTATTGAAGAAATCCTTCTAACCTCTCAGATACCTTCAGTTAAATTGTCCTCCCTGATCCCAGTCAGATACGCGAAACCATGGTCAAAGCGGCATTAACTCGGGAAAAGATGAGTGATCTCCCCAGTCACATTAGATGTTGTGAGTACCCACTTAATAAAACTGAAGGGGGGCTAATAAAGCACATATTGATGTCGGTAAACCTCGATCAGCAACTCAGGACAGAAGACGCGAGAAACACGGTCCCATCAATGGAATTAGCTACACAGGTAAAAGGTACACACTGTCCAATTCTCTCAAGCCAGGCTAACACATTTTCAATAATTTTTGTGGATGCTGTTGCAGAGGGGAACCATGTGATACCGTAAACTATCAAGTACCTTCATAGAAATACAGAGCAATGCATGGTTTAATTGGAAGAGATCATAAACGTAATCTAGCTTGATCCCGAAGATAATAAAACCAACGTACACTTACCTATACCCCTACTTCGCAGACGACGGGATTTGAAGGCATGGTACTAATCAAATGCCATAGGATACACAAAACAGGTGGGACAGTGAAGTGCATCAATCGCCATTTAGAATTCTTAACAAAACAAGGTACCCAAAAAACCGATGCAACAAAATCGTCCTAGTGCTGTTTTAACATGGATGGTACAAAATATTTGATTGGAGGGATTCGACAGACATTCTCGAGTACTGAATCCCAGAAAGATAAGCTGGTCGAGGTGATATTGCAACGATCACTCCTTTTGTTTGCTCAAATATTCCTAGCTAAGGAAATCAACACCTCATCTCTCAATCTCAGTGAGCACAGTACTATTCCCACAGGTTGGTTCCGAAGGCAACTTGCTACAGCCACTAAAAGTTACTTCACTAGTTGGAGTATGGATGGAAAACCTCCAAATTTGTGGTTGGACTATCAAACGTCTAAATGGTGACGATCTCACTAGCCTAAAGGTGGCCTAGATCTTTGATACCCACTCCAACTATCAGTTTAACCAGAAACCTACATGTTCAGAGTACTACTCGAATCTAGTAACAGATGATGGCCTAGGGAATTTCCTACTTGCTTCTGACTTATTACTAAGAAAACACATCCTATGTCTAGGTGTTCTGACAGTGGTATACAACATATTAAGTACAACAAAACATCCTAACTCGAGCTAATCGCCGAAACACTACAAACACACCTCATGAGGCAACTCTAAACAGGAGGATTGACTTCTCCAAACTCGTTCTTTGTCATCATAATTATCATCCAACATCACTAACCTGTTGTATCTGGCTTATTATCATCACACTTCGGTCTTCTCACATCACCTGAGCTACCGACTAAGCAACCCGTCTTATGTACTTAATTTTAAAAATATCCGCCCACCTAACATGAGAATATTCCTCTTACAATTCAATGCGTTTCAGCCAACAGATTGCGTTCTTGATGACGTGACAGCTGCTGGTAGCTAGGATCCCTGTTAGTCACAACACACCCAAATCACAGGACATACTCATTCTCATTGAACTGTCGGCTGACTGGAATAGGAAAGTAGAGTGCTTACATTACCATTCATTGCTTATTGTCAAATGCCTGGAAGCCTACCGAAAGAACAATAAGCAAGTACAAAGAAATCCATTGGTTTAGACAAACTCGTGAAAACGATATTGAATATTGGATAATCGACTGTAAAGAGAGGGATATTCGAAACTTTTTACTTTTAGTGGAATAAATGCTTGTTTGCCATATTTGCTCTGAGTTACTTTTGCTCTCCGCTGTCAGTTAATACTTCACACCTACTAGTTCATTGCATCCTGTTTTTTTTTATTTTTGAGTAAAAATCCATTAGGAAGTTGTCCCGTGTCATAACAATGATCGATTCATGATTGAAGATGAATTTGATAAAAGCCAGATAGCTACTTGTCATCTGATTGTGAAATTTTCTGATTAAACATCCTTAAGAGACATGCTTCTAAAAAAGCAGATTATTCTGTAGAATTCTTGACGTATAAAAATATCTATTAAATTGTAATGTTAAATGTATATATTACGAATAATTATTTACGGTTTACCATTCATACGTTCCTACTTTTTAAGTTTCCTTACTTGGAAAATGCGTTTGGTTCACAAAAATCGTGTATTGATTCGGAATACAATGTACAACATTCCCTAATATTTCTTTCGTTTCATTTCAAGTTATACAGTAGTACTAAATTTTAGGTTTGAAACACTGAATTGAAAAAAAAGTTTTTAACTTGCTTTCGTACGCTCCGAATCAGCAGCAAATATATACTTTTTACAATGCAAATTAGTTTGACTGTTGGCCAAACATGTGCATTTGTGCATCCATGCTTATCCGTCATCTAGTAATACATAAGTTGCATTTGTCTTGACTTGTTATTTTTCCTCATACGGTTTGTCTTTATTGTCCAATCAAGTGGTTTACTAGTTCTTTGATTTTTTTCATCTTAAACTTCAGATTCCTATCTAATCTCACTTGACTTCGTCGTCTCAATACTTCTTTCTTTCTTTGGTTACGTTTTGGCTGGTGGTCAAGTGTACCACAATACAATGTTGCACCTCGTTTTGTTAATTTTATGGCTTGCAGATAAATCAGGTAAGAAGCAAGTAATATAAATATTCAAAGATTTAGTTCATTTTTTTGTGGTATGCTTTGTTTTGTTTGTAATTAAGTATTTCTCTATGTATTGAGTGAATATTATGATAGTAGGTAACATATTCCGTTACTGTCGAAACTCTCCACTAAATCTTAAGATTAGTAGAGTTTGATTTTGCGCAGCCAGCGTCAAAATCATTTCAAGGACCGTAATGATCCTTTAGGCATTGATAGTTGTAAAAAGGCTAGCAATAGAAACTCAAGACATACTTTAGCGTAGCTTTTGAAGGCGTTATAGGACTACAAACACGGACATGTCATACGTCACACTTAGAGTCATAAGGTAGACAATGACATAGTGCCAGTGATCCGGATTGCACTCTTCACCTCGAATTTGCGCTATTCAAAGGTTTTTGTCTGAAGAAATTAGTTGTAAATTATATGTAAGATACGTTTACCGCAAAATTTCAGAACACCTAAAGCCTTAATGTTACTGTTCCACACTAAATTTATACTTTCATTTTAATCTATCACAGGTTCTACAAAATTCACTTTATCCGTAATCCCAGCTGACCAACCAGTACTTATTGGTCAAAAAGTGATTTTAAAATGTCAACTACAATTTCCAACAAACTATGCAGTGTTATTTAAGCGTAAAGAACAGATGATTTCAGAGAAATGTTACGTGTATGAGCCACAAAAGTATCATCTAGTATGTGAACCGAATGATTGGACAAGAGCTGAAACTTATGAATTACATATTAAATCTGTTTCTTGGGCAGATCGTGGTGATTGGTTGTGTATTTATGCAGCAAATATGACCAGACAAACTCTTGAAGTATATGGTAAATGATACGCGTTTTCTCACATTTTTGATAGTTATGTTATAGTGACTAGTAATCCTATTGTCCTTCTGCTAAGCTTTTCTGACTTGAACTGAATTCAAATGCCTCGTCTAGTGACTAGAATGCAGTTATAGGTGTATGGCTTATTGTTGCCTTCCAGCTGCTTACATTGTAGAAAGATACTTCTCCGAGTACCTAAAAGGGAAACTAAGTTAGTTGTAGTGATGTAGACTCTTTGGATTGGTGACCAGACCACCCACAGATTAAACACTTAGGGTCTATTACAGTCTTCTCGTATTAAGTTGATTTGTTAATTCTGCACTGACTTCACTGGTCTGTAAGTCACCTGCAATATAGAGCTTAGCATAAATTTGCATCTACTTAAGTTGCCATACCACACTAGAATGGCAAGAATAATCAAGGTAAATCCCTGATAGGTAGTAATAAGAGAATACTCAACACTTATGGAGAGAAAAGATACTGGGAAATTTTGCAACTCAGATTCTAAAAACGATGAAAATTGAATACATCTGCACCATTATGAGCTATTCTGAACCTTATTATCCAACCTGTAGAGTCAGATAAAGTATTGTGTTTTGGGAGATCACTTTTTTCCAACTCTCTCCTGTAATGAAAAGACAGAACCTCTGCATATGTTTGTTGTCTTATGGAGACAGTTTACTAGCATCATGCCTTAGTGCAGTCAATAAACAGTTCGACCTTGCCTTCGAATCGTGAGTTTTTTGGTTTTAGATTTGCTTTCCTTCAACTGACATGCCTGGTATAACAGGGTCTAACCAGATAGATGCTCCAGATAACAGCTCTATCGAGTCATCACGTTGACCGAACCCATCCACCACATCAAGATACTAATTATAGTCAGGTTATATACTGAGTAAAATTTGAGTACCTAAATCAGTGAGTTACAGCTTCAAGTGAAAGTTCTTACGTTTGTAAAATGGACATATTATTGATTTTAGGATAGTTTTAAAACTTTCTGACAGGTCATTTTCGACTTTACCCACCAACTAGATGGAGCTCTGAACCTTCAAAATCTGTTATATTACAGCTAAATATAAATAGTTGATTCTCAGTAATGTATGTACCTATTCAAATTCATGGAAACAAAAATATCAATCTTAACTTTTATGAGTACTACTGATTCTGATTGCCAATTTAGCAATATTAAGAGTCAACGTCAAATTGACAAGATTCCTTATAAATTTTATATTTCACACGTTATTGCTATTTGTATATTGACCAAGTTATAAAACGTTAATCTATATTCTCGATATATAAGAAAGCAAATATAAAATTCTTTTTGCTAACAAATATCCATTTGATTTTTCTGCTTGTTACGCAAGTTAAGAGATATTTTGAATTTATTGATATTTTTAATCCCAGATAAAAGTTATATGTATGAAATCTTAATAGTGTAAATCACTTAGTAGTATTTCCTTGGTTGAGATTATTTGACTTTCTATTTGAAATTTTCTTAGCACCTGCTAAATTGGAAAAGATGGGTGTATCAAGTCTAACTTCTTTACCGGTTACAAATAAAGAAGGCGTAATCAAAGATTCCAATTCACCTTCAGGATTATCATCTTCATCGTCGTTAGCTACAGCCGGATTGGATTCAGCTTTATCTATCATTCGTACACCACCTAGTCAACATATTGGCCTAGGTACTCGTACTAATCCGTATGATTTACGTCCTGGACTGGGAATTCAATTGACTTGTGAAACAACTTGTGGACATCCTCGAGCCAATATAACTTGGCTAGTTATGAATGAGGTGATTTTCATAATTTTTTTTTACAGAATATCCCCTCTTTTTACTTAAAAATTATGTATGATAAGATACTGAAGAATTTCATATGAAGTATTCATTATTCACTCAGTGACACAATAATAATCACTTGCGTCACTTATGGCGTAGGCGACATATCTGTCTGCTAACCAAAGGAAGAGTCTGCTACGCAGAAGTTTTCTCCTTCCTACTGTACGTTTGTGAAAAATGGCCAGTAATAGTAGAAGATATTCGTAGGTTACTAGTTTTCGATCAAAGGTATCTCCGAAGTATTGCTCATTTTAAAAGCTTGCTTACTACGTCGATATATTGTATTCTTCCAAGTGGGCTTGAAAACCATGTAGTTAGTCGATTTGTTGTTTCGTTTTCATGTCTAATAATCTGTGTTATAAGAAGCATTCGGAAAAGTTATTTAATGGACGTAGCTATCTGGAATTTGTTTACATGATGATCATATAATAGACACTAATGCGCGCTATCTTATTGATCATAACCCATGAGGCAACAGTTTTGATGTACTTGCAGGAAAGACAACCGACCTACACTAATCTCAAAGTTCACTTAATCCCTACTAATCACAATATTAAAACTGCTAATAATACCAGCACTTAATATCAGTCAGTCAGTTATAAACAATGTAAGAAGCAAATATTCATTGACCTGACATCCTACATCATATCAATACAACGAAGTAAAACTACCGAGATGAATTGCATTACGGGGTTGTTGTGCAGATTGTTAAGTTTTATTTGTAACCATGAGTCGATCAATGTTAGACCACCGTTAGAAACCTGGATGCACTGGACGGCCCTTTCGTCCTGGTATGGGACTCCTCAGCAGTGCGCATTCACGACTCCTGCACCCCGCAGGATTCGAACCCAGGACCTTCGGTATTGTGCGCGAACGCCCTAACAGTTAGACCACTGAGCCGGCATCTAACGGTGTTAATGTCTAACTTGATCAAATTCACGGAGTTGCACAACCTCATACCCTGTATACATCCGAACAGGTTTGAACTTCACTGGTTACAAATATCAAGATGAATGTTACAATAATAGAAATAGTAGTTTTAATGATTGTAAAATATGTTGGACATAAAAGATATACTTCAACAAGAATAAATGAATTCGCAAACTAAAAAATACAACCAATTTAGAAATTCAAGGATTAGAGTACACAAAAAAAAATGAATGAATCTCTCTCACTGTGACTTATTTCAAACTATTTAACGTAATCTCTATCACGTATTATCACATGAACTTTATTTGTATGGCCTAGTTTTATTAATGTTTTTCAGACCAATAACCAATGTTTTCCAGAATTAATATTACATTTTAGTTTGAATATCTCTTAGATTTCTTCCAACTTACTCCTGTCATTACAATAAATGACTGAAATATTGTATCGACGTCTTCTAATGCCTACACTGAATCTAGTTATTTTATACTACTTAGTATCGATAATCATAGCTAATAATTGATAATATCCTCTTCCTTAAACAATCATAGTTCTGATTTACAGATCTTCAATGAATCTCTATTTTTTACCTTTTTCTGTGCAATCACACCATCAATCTGTTTCTCATTGGTTAGATTATTCTCTGTAAATCAACAACTACTGAGGCTACAAATCGTTTACCCAAGTTCTGTGTAGACCATTCAGAACATGTTTCATTTCACTAAGGACTGATGAATAGATGTATCAGATCAAGTAAAGTAAATATATATCCCTCACCTGAAGAGGTTTCATGTACATTGGTTTTATCTATAGGTTGTATTCATCACAAACAAACCTAAGTCGAGAACTCCCCGATAGTGTACACTCATGACTCCGTCAAGGATTTGAATCCAGGACCCTCGGGTCTTTTAGTGATCGTTGAATCACTAGTACCACTCTCTAGTCTTCCCTAGTTTCGAACGATACCCCAACAAAGATAAATTTATCATGAATACAGTTTATACACCAAAACAGTCTCATAAAAACTTTTTACTAACTGCACTTTCTTATCAAAATTCATTAATGTCATTGAATTAGTAAGACTTTTAAAATTATTAACTGCATGTTTGTTAATTTATGTCATAAACGCAGCTTGACACTAAAGATGTATGACTGCCAGTCATGAAGCTGTAGTTGTACATCGCTCTTCATCTACCTACTTCGATTTTGGAAGCCCTATAGTAGTACTACTCTTCAAACATAAAATATGGCTTAAATTCATGCATGCAAATCTGTAGATGATAATTCACTTTGTGCTAATACCCGCTATATACTACTTCCTGAAACATCATACATTCGTCTGTTTTTTTCTTCCACTCTTTACCAAACTTGTCTGTATTATTGAGACTCATATACATATATATATATATATTCGCAAACTAATAATATAAAATACATTTGTTTTTATATTTCTAGACAATGACTAAAGCAATTATGCCTACAACTGCAAATAAATTCGATGAGAATGCTTGTAGTAATTCATTGAATACAATACATATGACAACGACTAAATCAAATTTACAAATTCATTGTTCACAATTAGATATTATTGGTTTAAATCAAATTCAATGTTCAGTTAGTGGACCACAATATAAAAATATTTTATTGACAAGAAAAGTTTATATATTATGTCCTGGTGAGTAAATAAATATTTTTTGTTTTTCTGATATATTTATTTATTAAATAAACTAAACAAGAAAACAATCCTTAGGCTTTATTATTCATCAGCAGATCTGTGCATATGTTTGTTTATTTAAAATTGAATATGCGCCAGTAGAACCTTCGGGGCTATTGCCAGTCCCAAGCCCGGGTATAGTAGGAGGTTTGGACATGGGGTTGGCGACCCCATTCCGTCAAAAACTAACTTTCCAAAAAAACGCTAACCAGAAAAAATAATTCAAACCATATCTTGGCAGCATCATCGACAATCAAGGTGGATCCAATGCAGATGTGAGGGCGCGGATTGGCAAAGCAAGGGCTGCATTTCTACAATTGAAAAATATCTGGAACTCCAAACAAATATCGATCAACACCAAAATCAGGATTTTCAATACAAATGTCAAGACAGTTCTACTGTATGGAGCGGAAACATGGAGAACTACGAAAGCCATCATCCAGAAGATACAAGTGTTTATTAACAGCTGTCTACGCAAAATACTTCGTATTCGTTGGCCAGACTCCATCAGCAACAACTTACTGTGGGAGAGAACAAACCAGATTGCAGTGGAGGAGGAAATCAGGAAGAAGCGGTGGAAGTAGGTAGGACACACATTGCGAAAAGCACCAAACTGCGTCACAAGACAAGCACTCACATAAAACCCTCAAGGAGAAAGGAAAAGAGAGGAAGGCGAAGGAGAACATTACGCCGAGAAATAGAGAAAGATATGCGAAAGGGAATCCCAGGACAGAGTTGGTTGGAGAAAACTGGTGGGCGGCCTATGCTCGATTGGGGGTAACAGGCGTAAGTAAGTAAGTATGTTATTTAATCTGATTAGATGAAATTTTATTTAAATAGACCACTCTCATCATTATTAGTTCATATTAACCGGTTAATCAGAAACCGATAGACCAGTCAGTCACAACGTAGAATTACGTACGTACGTAAGTGCAAAAGTTCAGGTTGCCATACCACATTAGCACATAGACGCAACTGTCAGCTTAAAGTGTATAGTGATCGTAGAGATCGTAGAAGTATTAGCGGTAACGGAGAAGATTAGGGTTCGAAGATATTATTCAAGAAGTATAATTCAGTGTGATCAATTTAGAAAGCCAAAGATAGAGATGATGAGGAATTCAGAAGGTTAGAATTTGCGAGAAGTGGAAGAATGGATGCACCTGCGCCATTGCAAACGATTTTGAACCATATCGTTCAAAGTCTCTAACCATCTGTTAGTAGTATCGTCTCGTGGACCCCAACCAAGATAGTCTACACTTACCAACATGACTCAGTCCGACAGATAGATAGAGAGACTAGTGTATTAGATCCTTAAATTATCTCTAATTTTTGAAACCCTATAAAAAATTTTCTTCACAAAAATCTTATTTTTATTTACTCTAAAGTAGTAACGTGTGCTTTTTTTTGATTATTCTTTGACCTCTCTCATCTACTAGTTACTACCACTTCTATTATTATTTGTTCAAAATATCCATTCTTTTATAATTGCTTTCCTCTAAAATCATCAATTTGAATTTGGCGCCAATATATTCCCATTACCTTCCCATTATATTTTAATGACAATTTTTTTTTAATAATGATGACTTTGAAAGTTGAAAATTGTCCACTTTTGTGTTTAACAAACTAATTTTTTTTGTTTCATTCGTTTTAATTTTCTAATTTTTTTCTAATTTGTTCAATAATCATTAAAATGCTAATATAATGGACACACAGTCAATATTATTTATTCATTCATTTATAGAATTGATCAATGTTAATATTAGATTTTGTCTTCCTTTTGTGAAGAAACAACAACGCCAACAAGGTTAAAATCAGTTATTAATAATAATAATAATCATAATAATAATTAACCTAAATAAATCAAGTTTGTGAAGTTAATCGTACCCACAGTTGTTAATGTTTAAACAATAGCAAGGAAGTAGTGATACAGAGAAAGGAAAATTATCTTAATTAATTAATTAATTATGTGATGATGATTCATGAGGTGTTTATAACTCCCGCGTCGTGAGAATGTTAATGTTGTTTTTGTTCACTGTTTATTTAATTGACGAATATATATATATATATATATATATATTAGACCACCATTAGAAACCTGGAAGCACTGGACGGCCGTTTCGTCCTGGTATGGGACTCTTCAGCAGTGCGCATCCACGACTCCTGCACCCCGCAGGATTCGAACCCAGGACCTTCGGTATTGTGCGCGAACGCCCCAACCGTTAGACCATTGAGCCGGCCGTCCAATGCTTCCAGGTTTCTAATGGTGGTCTAACATTGATCGATTCATGCTTTCAAAAATGTGTAACTTGACAATCTTCACAACCCCGTAATGCCAATATATATCAAAAGTACTCATTGATGACGATAAGAACACGAGTGGTACTTATAAGAATAATATGTATATATATTGTTCACCATTTAAATGTTTGCTCAATTTTGATGACATAATTGTAAAAAAATATTCTGAAGTCTATCCACGTTTGATTAAAATCATATCACTACTGCTAGTATATTTGTGTTGTTACTATCAATGTGTACTTTATAAGGATTATGTGTAGTCTTGTAATCTATTTCTCGTTGTGACGAAATGGCACATAAATTATCTTGATTAGAGTAAAGCTTCTGATTACAATTTACATTGATAAAACCATATAGTTGTTCGTTGATATGTTGTTATGTATTGTTCTGAAAATATGCATATTACCCTGATACATACATAATATTATCAAAATTATTTGGTGAAAATTACAAGCTTAAGACAAAATGAAACAGAAATTAAAAAGGAAAATTTAATTTGTAATAAATCTCTTCATCCAGCGAATCGGAAACTATTCGTTTAAATCTAGACGAAAGTTCATATTAAATGGGATGAATTTCTCACTTTTAAATATCAATCAATCAGAAAACCTTCATGAATGGATAGTTTATAGATTATCCAAATATTATCTCAAATATTTAACATAACTGTGTTAGATTTTTAAGATTCCTTAGATTGTTTCTGATTCAGTATAAGGTTAGGGTTTTCATTATAAAAACTGATATCAGCTGTAAAATGCGAAAATACTTACTAGTCATATATATGATTAAATAAATTTCGTTCGTAGTGTAGACTCGGAAATGGTGTTTCAGCGTCTCTTATAAGTAAAATGTACTACTTTGTATTACTACTATATCATAGTGTTAAACTTAATTTTCAAATGTCTTATCCTCTTAATGAAAACCTGATTACATCGAATTGGGATCAGCCTAACGAGTTTACTTGTTACACTTTACATCACCTTCCAATAAGAAATTAACCGATAAAACTAGTATAATATCAACAGTATTGTACTGAGCGAAGATGGAGAGACCATATGGGAACCATAAGTGAACTTATTTGAAGAGCACACAATTCACTAGGCCAAATATGTACACCATATCTCCGAACATGCATTCACAAAACTATTGGATTATTGGCCGTTTTATTCCATGTGCTTTTTAGTCTTCCAAACACTCGTATCACTCTGTACATCCAGATCTGACACTCTTGGTTTCAGCAGTAACTTTAGGGTGACACTTCACTGCATACTAGTTTTAGACCACGTTGTGAGTAGTATGGTATTAGTAAATGAAACATGAAATTTTTCACATAGTTTTGGAACCTAAAGATTTAAGAGAATATGAAAGTGAAAGCACCTACATCATTGTGGTAGATTTCACACTTAAACATCTAAAATCTCCAATCATAAGACATAATCACCTCAGGCAGCATTTATTCCTAGCAGCAGTGTGACTAACTATCTGATAGCCTCATCGACTCGTATGACTGTATCTCACTCGCATTCTTCCCTTTTAATATACCGATCTCCATGATCGCTCGATGTAGGCAATGACTATGATTACGATTATTAGTTAGTTATGAAATACCACTCCCTAATATGTCTACATTCAACTTACGTCAAAGCTGAATACAACTACTACATGATAAGATATTACTATTCATCTACAACTGGTGATTGTATATTCAATGTAAACTTTATTATCACCCTATATACATCTTAACATTTCTAATAATGAGTGGTTTCAACAATTGCTTGTCACTGACTACTGTCTTCATCAATCTATAGTACATTTATGTGAGTTGTTGTGAAATGTAATAACTTTCCTTTTAAAATAATAGTTACTTTGATTCGTCTAGATGGATCTTTCACTTCAACAATGACTGTTCTAGATTATAACCTCCTAACTGTGTATATATTATTTATATGTTAATGAAAAGTATATCCTGTTTGTTTGTTTATATTTCGCTGGTTTTATTATTCTATCAAAAATTTATTTAGATAAAATTGAATTAGAAAATCTAAAACATCAAATGACTACAAATGCAATCACTAAAGAACACCGTGTACGACGACGTACGTCTGTTGTAAATTACCCATTATACATGTATATTCCAGCTTCTACACTAGACTAGTTGATCGATGACTTCAATGCAGAAAGACTTACGTCTTGCTTGTATTTATTTATGCTTGCATGTTTCATAAATGTATTGATTGGAATGCCTCCTCTTTACATTGATGATGTGACTGTCAGTTTAACCCAGCAGAATATTTATTTTTCCGTAATGTGTTTGTTTCGACTGTCATATTTATCGTTTGAAGTTGCATACAGCATGTTTGCATGACGTTTGCATTATTTTTTCACTGTTTATTGGATACATTTGTGAGATGTGCATATACGGCGATACAGTAACTAGACAAATGGATGAATCTGTTCTTGGTTTCTGATCTAACAACTGAGTAAGCTATAAAGATCTGGTAATCGAGAGATAAGCTTTTTGGTCAACATATAATACCATTTGTCGTTAATTTAATAACCAGAGAAGACCCGCTGATCATAAACCTGGTTACACTTTCTCAATCCTACGGATATTATTTCGTGTGTAGCTTTCTAAATTCGTACCTAATCGGAAGCCCCGAAATATCCCTTTAGAGACCTAGGAAAGTCAAGGAACGTTTCACCCAATCAACATTGAATATAACGGCAGATACGACTGGAAAATGATGGATCACGTGTCACAGTTTTGACCAGATATTTAGCCATACCACTACTATATTTGGTGTGGTTGTATAACGTTCCAGACAAATGAAGGCATGAGTCTATAGAAATCCCCTCATTTTTCTGTACATAAACTAACCTTGGAGTAAACCGTACCTAATGCCTTTTCTCTTGTGTTCAAGTCGTAGTTTAGATTAGAAGCGGACAGGAATTCAGATTTTGCGTTAATTTGGTTGACGTTTCATTATCAATGATGCACGTTGACTGGCAACCCAACTGTTCACCTATAAGCACAACATAGGCAAGCTACTGTCACTATACTTCAGATAATAATGCGTTTGCATATATATATAATACTCCATGAAGTGGTTTCGGAGGTTATTACTTCTTCAATATTTCTTCCGTTACGAAAGTATTATAATGAAAAATAAATTAAATAGCTAGGGTTTATAAACTACACATCGTAGGATATCTAGGTGTCAACTTAACTACTGGATCCAGTTACCCATTACCCTGTATAATTGATCTTAATTTAGTTTGTAATGATTTCAAGTTATTCCATATCGAGGCAATCTGCATAGAATCCACGTAATATGCCGGCTAAGACTGATGAAAGTTCGTTCAATAACATCACTAATGAGATAATTCAAGCCATTATGGATTAAGTTAAAAAAAAAAACATCAATTTCCTCTAATTATCGGACTGTATTGTTCGCACTCTTCTTCTTGAAGTCAACACCTGTTTAAAAAGGTTATATCCATCCAATTCGTTACACAAATCCACCCAAATTCAAATGGTACGTTTGATTGAGAAGTACCTCTACATACTTTCCACAATCTACCTCCATCTTTTCAGCTCGGCTGACTAAACTTTGATGCTAATAAATCAATCGTTGTTTTGCCAAACCAAATATACTCACTCACATCTGGCTTATTGAGTTTTTTTTTCCATTACATGTGTTGTCTTCGATTAGTCACAGGCATCATTCATTGTATAACAATGAAGATTTTGAAGCAAACTTGGTTCTTATCTGATAGTGATAAGGCCGCCATTATAATTTATTGCCTGTTTGAATGCTCCCATTTTCATGGCTTGATTTTTTTTTTCTTTCTCTTACCCTTAAACTCATCCAAACTCTTCGTTTTCCTGTTTTTTCTTTTCATTTTCCAGGTGGTGAAAGACCAATGCGTTTAACAAGTGGTGAAGTTGTCGGTATAGCAGTCGGTTCAGCATTAGGTTTAATTTTAGTATTTATTGGTTGTATTATTTTGCGTAATAATGGGAAATCGTCTCCTTTAGCATTTCATGGTCATATACCCGGTCAACGTGTATAGTAGTGAGTAGTGCAACAAGAAGAATTAAATTTTATCTTTGTTTCTCTCTTCTTTTTTTCTTTTTCACATTGCTTCATTGATTCTCATTGTTTCTTTTTGCTCAGTGCTTTTATTATGATTATGTTTTTCTCTTTGTATGCAACAGTTTTTTCTTTTCATTTTTCCCTATGTACTACTGATAATGATAATTAATAGTAGTATTAGAGTAATATGAACAGCATTCTGTATGTGCCACCTAGTTGACGATTGCATTGCATTTACAATAATGCATTCCCTGTTTTAATTTCATTCTGTTTTTATTTTTATCCAGCATATATTATTTGCATATAAATGTCAGTAAAAATAAAACTATCAAATTCTTTATTCACCCTCTCACTCTTATCATCATCATCTCTAGCTGTGTGTGTACATTAATTTTATTTTAACTTTTTTTTTAGGCAATATAAATTATTTCTGCATAATTTAATAATATTGTATTTTCTTTTTGTGTGTGTGTGTGTGTCATTTATGTTACATATCATTTATGTGTTCAAGTCAAATTAATTTTTAATTACATCTATGGATGGATGGACGGATATTTCTATATAATGATTATTTCTATTAGTTCTATTGCATTTTCATTGTTGTACCAACATTTTAAAATTCAATGTGAAGTTTGTTTTTGTGCTTTTTTTTAAATTTTATTTATTATTTTGTATGCCCTAATATCTCTTCACTTTGTTCACACATGAATTTTATCAAAAGAAAGTTGGTACTTGACACTTGATCAAAACTTATATACATTTTGCATAGGTCGGGGTGGTATTCAGTGTCAATGAAAGCGTTTGGGTGGTTGGGTGGGTAGGATGTACCATGTTACAGTTGAATTGTCTGTTAGCTTTGTAACTTTTCCTCTCAACTAATTTTCAAATGTTTTTTTTTAATCATGTAAATAATTAATAACTTTTAATTAGTTTATTCTTGTTAATTAATAACTTTATGTTGTATGTCTATGTGTGTTTTTTCTATTTGTGTATGTATGCGTTTGTTAATTTTGACAACCATTATTCATTCATACTTCATTATGGTACGATGATACAATGCTTTTTTATTTGTAATGTTATTTTATCTCGAAATAAAACTTAATTTATGTATCTTATATTCTTGGGAAAGAAAATTCTAATCAAAATTCGCATAGTTATTTCATTACCAGTCAGTTTTTAATATTCAATTGTTTGTGGTGGTGTTTCGTTCTCTGAGCTGGTTGTTTTGGTTGTGGAGGACAAAGAACACTAGGGAATGTTTAGAAGCTTGGCACTCAAGCCAATCAACAAACACATCGACATTGACCCAATTTATCAACCAATCAGAAAAATCATAGGTGACACAGGATCAAGAAACAGATCAAAAGGCGGGTGCAATCAAAACAAAGTTGCAAACAACGACAGGTCAAAAGGCAACAGCAACCAATCAAGATCGAGGTTAGTAGAACAAGCTACAGGTCAAACGTGGAGAAATTCGAATGCTTCACTTCTATCTGAAGTTTGTGCTGATGATGTTGTTCAGCAGAAGAACAATGAAAGCTCCACAACCAAAACAACCAGCTCAGAGAACCAAACACCACCACAACCATTAACCTGAGCTACAATTTTTCTCCACCATCTCATGATCACTTGTTATTGTAGTTGTGTTCTATTGTTCCACACTTCCAATAATCAATCAAACCCATTATATCCATATGAGAAGACTGAAATTAGTTAGAAAGGTATGATTGCCAAAAAAGAATATAGACTAAAATCATAAGCTTGTTATAAATTTGCCCGTTCGATCTAAAACAGGGACGCGCAAACTAGGTCTTTGATTAAGGCATTATCTACTTCCTCCAATAGCATGCTTCCTATAAAATTCTCAACTCTACTTGGTTTTGAAATTACATGGGTCTGTCTAGCTTTTTAAATTTTTTGTGACATACGTTTAGACACACCCAGTTTATCGTAAATATGCATATGATTGGGCTGTATTCACATTAAGTTGTGCTCCTTTCATAGGATATTTGGACCAATGCCGAGATCTAAAGATGGCAGTTCTTAACCACCTAAATGGTTGGTTGAGTGATAAGGCAAAAAGCAGAAGATAAGGTCTATTTGACTACCGAACAGTATCAACAAATATTTGTCTACATACATGGATTCACTTCCTTAAGAAATAGTCATTCTCAACCAATGACATGCGTTCGTCCTTTACGACATCTCTGGTAATGTTCCAATGGCCTTCTCGTTAGGTCAGTTCATTATATCACCCACTCTTCCCTCCTAAAGAATAACCGGCTTCTAGGGTTTATCTGAAGGTATTGGAGGAATCAATGTTCCCTTGATGATTTCGGGGTTTCTCTGTCATTTCTGCATTGGCTTCTATGCTCCTAAATAGCTGTATCAATCAGTATCACTCCAGTGGTAATTTCGAACTAGAAATTTTTATTCACAGTTATTCGTCCATCTCAGACATAGTTCACATGTCATGTTAGACATTTCCTTCGAATACCAATCATGGACATCTCGCCACCAACTACCGTTTACGATGAAACCGGCTAACCACACAAACCTCCGTTGTCGGAAGTTCCTCAAATCTATGGTAATCCATGCAGGAGTTGATATTCCGTTACTCTTACTTTAGGTTGATAGTCTCACGTTTTCTTCTGTGAATGCATTACTTTAAATGAATCGCGAATCATTCTTCTGAAGGTGGCTTCAGTTGGCGAGGCTGGATCTGGATTTATTCTGCATCCTTCCCTTGTGATCATCGTAAAAATCGCTACAGAACTTCTGTTTTCATTTGTTTATCACTAGAGAATGTGAAGTCTGTTAGGTGAATAAGATAATTGATTACAACTAATATTAAGTTGCTGATCGAACGTTTATACATCTGTATTACAAATAATATTGAGTAGCTGAACAAACGTTTTTAAATCTTTGATCCTATGAATCGAAAGATTCATTGATAACATAACATTCGGATTTGTTAGTTAGATCATTTTAAATTTTACAATTTACATTTGATAAATCCTTACATTTTAATTAGAATGCTCGATTCATTCTTTATGCAATCGGTAACAGGATAAATGCTTGGTTGACCAAGTTTCCTGACAAATCAAGGTGACTTGAGAAGCAGTATCCGATTGCAGTGTGATCATTAACACTGATTGATGTATAGTTGCGTAAATATTTGGGGTGAGAATTTGACGCAGTTGAATTTTTTTCGACATTCGATGAGATGAACGTCTATATTGTCTCCGAACTCGCTCATAGTAGTTAACCTAAAGATGGCGTTTGTCACCGTCGCTAGTCTTGTGACTGTAATATATATTTTAGTGACAAATTCCTCGTTCGTCTAAGTTATCCTGAGCAGGTCTTCTACTTTAAAAAGACAGTTAATTTAGACCAACATGAAGTAAATTGACATGGTTCTGTTGTGTGTACAGATCGTGAAATAATGTCAAAAAATTCTATGGCATAAGTAAGAAGAGTCTGGAACTAGGTTACATTTATGTAAAGTAAGTTTAATTGTCGCACTATATAACCATCGCGAGTCTTGTCTCAAAATGAGTTAAAAATTTCATTTCTCACAAAAAATCAATAGTCGGGTATTGTTTTTTCAAAATAAGTCGGTCTGATTAATAGACATGCAAAAAAAGCAACAGTCTATGCACATCATATTATTTGACAATTCAGTCTCATGTTTGTCATCATAGCCAAATTTTGGCGTTTACCAAAAATAAGTTCATTGGCCAAACCATAAATTTACTAGTTGAATAGGCTAGATATTAAATTCAGTCGCTTGACTGTTTTATGATATTTTTGGCACTGCAAAGCATTTCAATGAGTTAATAATTATTTGCTTACTTACCTCCAATGGAACATAGGTCGCTGACCAGCATTCTGCAACTAACTCTATCCTGGGTCTTCCTTTCCAGCTCAGTCCGATTTTCGTTCATTCTTCACATGTCTGTCTCCGTTTCTTGGCGTAATATGTTCCTTGGCCTTCCTCTTTGCCTATGGTCATTGAGGGTTACAAGTGAGGGCTTGTCTTGCGACGGAATTGGTTGCTTTCCTCAATATACGTCCTATTCACTTCCAGCGCATCTTCCTGATTTCCTCCTTTGCTGGAATCTGGCTTGTCCTTGCCCATAGTAGATTGTTGTTGATAGTGTCTGCCCAACGGATCCGAGGTATTTTGCATAGACAACGACTCCGACTTGAGCCCTTCTGTGGCTACTGCCGGTCCCAAGCCCGGATTAAGAAGGAGGCTTCGGGTTGGCGACCCCATGCCGCGGAACACTAACTTGCTTAACGAACACTGACCAGAAAAATCAACGAATTATTAGTCAGGGTGTGTTGTGAAGAAATATATGACTTCAGCTAATTAGAACAACTAATATCTTCAAATTTGTTACGAAATTACAGGATCTAAAAAAAGCTAATTAAGGAATGATGATGGTATAAGAACGAAAATCACAGTATACATATAATATATGAAATATGGCTGGTAGTGGGACTTGACTTTCTTCCTACTTGAAGTTCTTAGTCTAGATATACCTACCTTTCACAGTTGTTGTTCGTTTGTGAACTCGAACTCAATGGTTTTCAATTCAAACACCTATGGTTATTCTCAGGTAATCATAATTCGGTCAAAATATCAACAGCGGTTTAATCCAAATTATTACAAGTTAAGTTGAAGTCTTAGCAGTTTGCAGAGTTTTCAACCACAGGCTCGTTCGCTGTTAATATATATATGTATATATATATATATATATATATATATATATATATATATATATATATTTAAACGTGATTGTCTTTCGATAATAGCAGTGCTATAAAATATAAAAATACAGGATACCTGAAGAGTGCCTCCTTGAATTTGTGCAGACTTAGCACAATTTGTTTCAACTGTACGGTATCCAGTAACATAATCAATGACTGAATATATGATTCAAGTTATTTTTCAGAGAGAAAAACTATGTACCCATTGGAATCGATCAATTCAATTCAACAAAACACGTGATTAATCAAACACTGCACAACACTAATAACTTGCCTTAATATTATTCAAACAACGTAAGCCTGTCCGTAAGTAATCGATGAACAGTAACGAATTCATCGAGACTATATATATATATATATATATATATATATATATATATATATATATAACAGACAAATCAATTAGATTTAAGTAAATCTTGAATTTTTATTCATCTATAATGACTGAATAGGACGATATTGGCATTATACCGAATATCGGTTCGTGATGTTGGGGTGTATGTAACTTCTAATGCCGAAATCCTGATTGCTCACGTTAATTAATGATCTTATTTTGACCATAAAACATGCTTGAAATTGCTCTCGGTCACTTTTGTATCAGTTCATCATTAGTTCAAACCGGAACACAATCTAGAAGAAGACCGTCGTTCAGCATATCAACCTTTAAAGCATAGAGTTTTAAGCAAGAGGCAATCAATACAGCCATTGAAAATTGAAATACTATAATTAAAGAAACACTTAAACAAAATATCGAACGTAACTTCCATGGAACCAAAAATTAAACATGATACACTTGAATAAAGGAAGCAATGCCAGCTTAATGGAGAAACAAATAAGCAACCACAACACAGAATGTGCACGAAAGGATTTGCTTACAATGAATACATACAAAAAAGATCTTTAAAACGAAAATAGTCATGGCATTATTCTAAATAACAGTCTGGTCAATTGTTTCTTTGTATTTATATGACAAATGCGGAGGTGAATACTATTCATCTCCAACCAATCAGACTATTTTTGGATAAAAGATTAATTTGAGACAAAAGTAGAGGGAAGCTTACTATTCAAATGTATCATTATGCTATCACAATTATAAACACTGAAATGTAAAACTGAATATTCACAAAATTCTTATTTTATCGATATGTTAATACTATGAGACATAGGTTGTATTGCCTCATTATATCAATCTGTTTAATGACATAAAGTGAATGTGAACATGTTATGTCTTGCGACCACTGACGAAAATCACTAAACACAATGCTATTTCTAATTTGGTCTGCTATTTTCTGTATAACTGGTTCAATTTTAAGCTAACCAGTGTGTGTTCAAATGTGGAACACTGGCAGTCTTAATAGTTTATTATTGTTAGTTGCTCTTCTAAGGTACTTTAAACTTTCAATTCTGCATCCGATTACACAAACGCTGATGAGATAATTAACTTGTACCTCATTCATTAGTTCTTGAACAAGTCTATTCGAGTAAAGACGAGATCATTTTTATTGTTTCTAACTCCAATACTCTTAATTCAGTCATAGCACACATCTGGGTAATTAGACAGCTTGATATTTGTTACGCCTGCCCGTAAACACGTCATTTTGATATGCTTGTGCTATTACAAGTTTACCTAGTTGGAAAACGAGAGCGAGGATCCGGCGACACAACATGCTACTCTAATCCGAGTGTAGCAACCCCCATATTGAGTAAAAATAAGAAGACTTGATATGAAGTAGAACCTCTATTCTGGAAGCATTCAGAAAGTACGAGGTCCGAATCCAGAAGAGAACCAGGATCCCAGACTAGGGATCCGGGACCGAGTCCTGGTCATAGAACGTTACAGATAATGCGTATTTATACATTTAGGTTGAATAGGAATCATCATCGAAGTCTGTGACATTGACAGTCAAGACAACCAATAGGAAGCAACATTTGAAGTGACATCGATAGTCAGGACAACCAATAAGAAACAACATTGAAGCACGTGACATTGATACCTGGGACGACCATAAAGTTGACCAGTAGGAATTATCCAATAGGAATAGACCAATAATTCTCTTAGGATATTGGATGAATTTCCTAACAATATTTTACCGCCGATGGGAAGTATATAAACGGCCTTTAGGAAACGAACTATTAGACTTAACCATATCTATTTCAACGGTTTGAATCTTCCAGCTATTGATGCTAAGAACTGCAGTTGATCGACTCCTTCAAGCATACATCGATCTAGAGTGGATCGTTTCAATATCATTGTTTTACAAAACCAGTAGCCTTCCAGAAATTATGGAAGAAACCTGGTAGAAGTTTGAAGCTTAAACTATTGAGTAAAAGTTCACAAGTGAACATTAATTCGGAGATGCAGGTACATTCAGCTGATAGGTTTAAAAACAAGACGGAAAGATATACGAATCTAACTTTTTGTTAAGACTGTAGTGGTTTTATTTTCTCAGGTAATATTAATTTGCGTTAATTATTGCAATCTGTGTATCGTAATCAAGTTGGTCTAAGTAGGTCAGTAAATAAAATGTAGTATATGACACTAGAGATTCTTTGAAGTATATAATAAATGATCTGTTACAATTTGACATTTTTATTTATTTACAATTAAGTTATTACATGTGAATATTACTAATAATAATTTTTAAGAATAGAACAATTATGACAGATAATTTCAAAAAGTGATCATTACACTTGAGATGTCATTTAAATAAACAGTACTTACATTCAACTTAATCATAAGTATCAAAATTAAAAATTCGATGATTTTGATGATGTTTACTTAGTGAGCGAAATAAGCTGAGATGTTATGTTATATTCATTGAGGTCGTTATCAGTGTTACCGTCTACAAGTGAATATCTAAAAATTAGGTAGAATGGTATCACTTGGAGGTTGTGAAATTACCACACACCTTTGTCTAGTTTAGTTAACGCTTTTCACTTCAATAGTGTTTAACATATATATAAGTTAATCCAAATGTTATTATCTCTTGCATTTCGAATAACTACTAGGATACAAATGTCAGAAGTACCTTGTGATACTTTGCCAAAAAAGAGAAAAACAGTCAGCTATTTCAACATTTTACGGGGCTCCTCAAAAGCTTATGACCTTATATAGAATGCTTAACAATCAGAACCACTTTGTCTAGATCTGCCCCAACTAAGATTGTTCTGTAACAACCTGAAAATATATTTATCTGTTTGACAGTCAGTGAGTGTTATCCAACTCTGAAGCTTGCATATTTTTTCCTCAGTTTTTCAATTGAACTTCATGTATATCCTGTGGTGCATCGAATAAACTTATTCAATACTTCGTATTCCTCTTCTGATTTATAAACCGTGAGGCGTTGCTTTATTAACGGTTGGCTGGAAGAGCAGCATACGAAGCCTAATGACATACTGAATACCGACCTCCACGAAACTAGTGAGGCACTTGCCACCACATAGTTTGTAAGCTCGACGACAAATCAAACACAACCATCAAATTGGCGACCCTGAACAAGGGACGCAACTCAGCTTTCTAGGCACCATAATCCTCTAAGTGAATAAATCCTCTTTATAGAGAGAAGAATTGTTATTCGTTTAGACATTGAAAAGAGAGTAAATATATATTTATATATAAACCACTCGTTCATGGGGAAAAAATATTGATATATATCACTCACTGCTGATAAGTAAATGCTAAAAGAGATATTCCTCAAAAAGCTTTAAATGATTTCACATTTTTCTCCTATACTCATTTCAAACTATACTCATTACAAACTATACTAATACATCGTAATTAATTATACTATTTACTTATAAAAAGTAGTTTCTGTACATTTTCATAAATTTGCATTAACTTTTACATCTTGACACTTTTTCGAACATGTTCATTTAAAAATAAATCCACAAAATGACCATTTCAATAACGAGAATTCGAAGTATTATCGATGAAAAATTATCGATAATTTGTCACTAAGCGGTCTGTATCATACAGAAACTATTTATTCCCCCCCTCACTCTAAGCTCTGGTATAATAATCGATAGTTAATAATCGATTATCTCCTACGTAATGATCCATTAATTAAACTCATCAGTATTTTGGCCCTAAATGTACTAAGTCTTCAATCATTATTCTTAATAATAAAGTTTTATACCTCTCGATTCTGCTTTATGGAGTTTTCATGATCAATTGTGAAGTACTTTTAAAACCGATAAACAATAGTCGGCATTTTATTGCAATTTTTGGGACAATTTCACCAGCCAGTCAGTAGATGTCCTACATGACTGACAACTTAGGTAGTAACTTGTCATTAAAACTGTGGGAAATATTGGTGTAATGTAGACGTTAATAGGGATATAGCTAGTAGGTAGATAAAATGAGTATTCAGGTTATTTATTACTTGTTGCACTTGTACGTACTACCAAAACCAGCCACATCTGAAAATAGACGAGGAATAGTTTTTTAGTCTATTGTTGAAAAAAGAAAGTAAAGTTCAAATGTGTAAAAACACAAAACCTCCAAAACTCTGCCCCAAAATATCGTAACAGTGCTCACTAGTTACTAGCTTCGTGAGGAAATTCTCGGAGTTCTAGTTGAGAAGACGTGACTAATGGAGTTCGACCCTGTCGGGTGTAGGCAGTAACTACCAAAGACAAAATCTGTAGATCAATCAGAGTTAGTCATGAACGCCGTTGGATGCCAGCCCAGTGGTACGATGGTTAGGCGTTCGCGCAAAATACCGAAGGTCCCGGTCTTCGAATCCTACGAGGTATAGAAGTCGTGGATGCGCACTGCTGATGAATCCCATACCAGGACGAAAACGGCCGTCCAGTGCTTCCAGGTTTCCAATGTTGGTCTAACAATCATTGATTGATGATTTCAAAGTTCTTTTCCTTTCATGATGATTCACAGATATATTTCTATGATCAATGATATGTGCAGTTAACGTCTCAAAATCACCTAATAAGCAGCGATAATTTTAACGTTAAACTAACCTGGAAGTTTCGATCATTTAAACAACTGACGGCATATATCGAAAGCATCTTAGATGATCATTTTTTGTGTGTAATTTTCACGAAAAAAATGGATGATAACAAAAGCTGTCTCTCCGGATCTCAATCAAAGATGGATGAATTATACTCTTCTGATAGACTGTCAAACGACGAAAAACGACCAGTGAATATAATCTATGAACCATCATAAAAGCCTTTAGAACTAGTGGGTCGCTGACGGTGACAGTTACTCCTACACATATACTTTATGTAAAAATCATTTGGATTTCAGTGATCGTCTTGTATTATAAAATGGCAGAAAGTCATATCCTCATATACTCACAATTCTCTCAGGAGTTTCGCTTCTGTCAAAAATCCTACAGTGAAGAATATTGACTTACAACATACACTGCCGCCATCCAGTGTTCCCATGTTTCTACTGGTGTTCTAACAATGACTGATTAGTGATTTTTGTGTTCAAAACCAATCATCTCCATAACTCTAATTGAAAAAATTGGGATTACAAATTCATAATATACAACTATTTACAATATTTCATGTATAACTTATATACCAAAGCGTATGAAATTTGTACTAAGCTTATTTAACTTTTTTTAAAATTTTAACTGTTGAGATAAGGTCATTCTCTAACATAAAATAAACCAAATTCTAAGGGGACACCTACAGGATTCTAGTTGACAGTCGTTCAGACCACAGTAACACTGTCCACCTAACCTTACCATGTCAAAGATACCAAATCGTAAGATTCACATCTTACAGCTTTCACAATAAGTACCCAGATGAAATATGTTTCTGAATATATTAACTTGTAATATCATATCACAATCATCATGAACTGAATTTCTTTATTTTGCAAACAAAAAAAAGGAACATCCAAACAATGTTGGATTAAAAATTAAACAAGAAAATGAAATAAAAACCAAATTAAATTTAAATCAACACATCACATTCGATATAATACACATGTTAACAGAAGTTATGTAAAATACTATTTTTTTTTTCCTGAAAGAAAAGACATGAAAACGAATACATGGGAGAGAAGAGAAAAAAAAAAGAAGGCGTCAATTCACAAATCAGGCAGGACAATACATAATACAAGGTTAATTAAGCAAATGCACAAAATGATTGACATGTTATTGTGTATGTAATAAGTTTTTTTATATCGATTTATCACTTTTGATCTTTCATCTATCTTCATTTTAAATAGGATAATAATGATATAGGTTCAATGATATAGTTCCTGGTTCTGTATACCATAGAATGTCATATGAGATGTACACAAATATGTACACACACGCATACATCTACAATAACCCGAACGGCTTCATTTATAAAGTTAATATTCCATGAAATATTTATTGTAATAATAAGATATCAAACAAATGTCCCTTCACGAAATGCTTGGTACGTATAATGTTGCGCATTATTGGTTTGTTGTTCAGTTAGCTGACCATCTTGTAACTTTTTATTATCTTGTTCATTGATAATATTACTAATATCATTATTAGTAGTATTAGTAGTGGTAGCAGTATTAATAACCACGTTATCACCATCATGATATACATTATTATTATTATTATTATTAGTATTCACTACTTTATTAATATTGTCACAATTATCACCATTAGTCATGTTTATATTTTTTAATTTAGACAATTTATCGTCTGATTCAATTTTATGCTGTTCAATTGATTTATTCTGATTTGGTTGTATTGAACGTCGAACTGAGTGTATAGCTAATTCACCAGCTTGTAAATTATACATACTATCATCATTATGATGTGTATGATTACGATTCATATGAGTATTAGTTGTCGTCGTGGATGCAGCTTGTCGTCTACGTGCTTTTCCACTAGCTGCTCTACTCAATGTAGCTATATGATGATTATATGAACGATTTTGGAAGTCAGTTAATTGCTGTTGATGTTGTAATCGATTATTAATGTTGTTGTTGTGGTTGTTCTGTGATGGATGTACATGATATTGATGATTATTTGTTGGGCTAGACATATTATGTGCATGAAAATTAACATGTGTCTCATTATTATTATTACTCCGACCACCATCATCAAGTATTCTATCCTCATTTGAAATAAATGTTGATAAGCCTCGATGATGCCATGTATCTGATGATGGTGTAGTGATTTCATAATAAGTATGCGGTAAAAATGTATTGACATTTGATCGATGCGCTGGTGTTGTTGTTGTTGTTGTTGTCGGTATTATTGATGCTGATGCTGATCCGGATGATTCAGTGAAATCATTCGACATCATCATCATCATCGTCATCATTGGTTGTTGTCCATTGTTCAATGTTGATTTCACATGATTATCTGAATTATTATTATGATTATTATTACCTAATGCATAATGAGTTGGTAATAATTTTTGATTCTTTCTTGGTAAACGATGTGTGAAATGATTCATACCATTGTTGTTAAAAGGACTGAATTCTGAATTATTAATATTATTATGATTATTATTTTGTCGATGTATCATATTCATTGTACCTGATGAAAATTTATTTTGATGACACCATATTGCATCTAAACTTTGATAATCTGGTGATGATGGTCGATATGAGGATTGTGTCAACAATTGATTAACTTCTATGCGGAAAAAGCGAAAAAAAACCATAAAGAGTTTGATTATGAAAATTAGGACACAACTTGTCGATCTGGACCGTTCTCAAGCTCTATTCTAGAGGTTAAGAGTTCACATGCAAGACCAAATGTCCCGGGTTCGATTAGGACATGCAGGAACCATGGATGAGTCCCATAACTAGGATGATACAGGAATCTAGTGCTTTCAGGTTTCTAACAGTGGTCTAACATTGATGGATTCATGATTTCACTTTACTCTAATATATTATGTACGAATATTTATCTGAAAATGCTAAACTAATCAAGGCGATCTGTGAGTAAATGATCACGATGAAATAGATTACTTAACTTAACAGGATAGATAAAAACTACACATCAATAATAACGTAATTTTCGGGCAGGCTTCTGGAGGTTTTGTGTTTTTATACATTTGAAATCATCAATCAATCATTGTTAGATCTACATTAGAAACCTGGAAGCACTGGACGGCCGTTTCGTCCTGGTATGGGGTTCACCAGCAGTGCGCATCCACGACTCCTGCACCTCGTGCGATTCGAACCCGGGCCCTTCGGTATCGTGCGCGAACGCCTACCCATCGGACCACTGAGCCGGAATAAAAACGGTGTTAATTGAACTAAGTGGCGAAAATGAAACATAAGCTGAACTTAAGAATGTAGATAAATAAACTCTAGAATAATTTCAAAAACATTTCATAGTCACGCAATCAGAAATTTGTAAACAATCAAATAGAAAAGGATATATAGAATTCTTATTACTACTCGTAGTACATCTGTCATCTTCATGATAAATTTGTACTGGAAACTGTGTAGTAGTGCAAACTATTTGATCGTTAGCATTAACTCGTAAATTGCCTTGATCGGTTTAGAATTTTCACGAAAAAAATAGAGAAAAACATATTACAATAAAGCCTAATAGTGACCTAATTGATAAATCTATTATGTTTTCTCATGTGTTGTTCTACATGAAATACAATTACATTTTGTATTTTGAACAGTAATATGCCATTCGAATTTGTCACCGGAAAAGAGTACAGCTGAGTATATGGCAGTGGAATAACATACACGAAATACTCAAATAGACATTTTTCTAAGCTCTTCCAAGACCTGATTCACCAATCTCTGTGGGTTTAGTATCGATATATACTAGCATAGAATCAATAGGTTGTTCTATATGTTTTCTACACGACATATTAGTGTTTGAAGTGACCAGCACTGATTTCCAGTCTCAGTGTTATTATGAACCAGTATGAAGGTAAGTTCAGTCCGTAAGTCAAAATTTACAATCCGAATTCCACAGCTATTCAAAGTTGGCATTTACGACCTTGTCATCGGAGTTTGGATAGAAAACACTTTAAGTCACACTGTGGTGCGAGCTACTTATAAGTAGTATATGACGTGAGTAAAAACGTAATGTCTGGCAGCTGAAGATGGGGGAAGATCTAGAAAGGAAGAGTTGGAACACAATGGAATTTGTATGAAACTCATGAATAGTGACAATGGATTGATGTTTTGCAACAGGAACAGTCCAGTTCGATATGATGAACTGATAGTTTGCAAATTAACGATTTACGATATGGTTTTCCGATTTTACTGAGTAACTCTGTAATTTTCGCCATATACAATTCGGTTGCTCCACCTGTGTTCTCGTTCACTACAACGCAATTAACGTCTAATCTTTAGAACACTGAGTCGAAATTGTTGCATCTGTAGATTTTAGAATTCACTGGTAAATTGTACAGTTTAAATTAACAATCCTAAACAAACCTGGTTGATCCATTGACGAATGAAATACAAAAAGCAGTAATACCTAACGTACACATCACACACACACACACACACAAAAACAAAAAACCATCACCTACCTGAATTACTTAAAACATGCGGTATATTTGAATCGCGTTTATTGTATACACCACCACAAGGATTAATTCCAATTGGTGTTGTAGAAAATAAACGTAAACGACTTGGAGTATACATATTACTCATATTGTTCATATTAATCGTGCCATGATCCATTTGATTCACTAATGACTGACTATGAATGTGTTGTGGTTGTGGTTGTTGTTGTTGTAGATCGGATATTAGAGGTGACATGATCGTTGGCTGAGGATGAGGATGATAATTTAATATGGTATTATTAGATAGAATACGTGTTGGTGAATTCAATTCATCATGACCGCCATAGGTTTGAATTTTACCATCAACTGAGATATTTGTCATCTTAAATTTAAAAAAAATATAATGAAGCGAATTAAACTAGATGAAAGAAACACCATTGAGTATCTCTTATCTTAGGTGGGGAAAATAAGCGCTTATGCTACTAGACCACATGAAGTTAGGTGATATATATATATATATATGTACATATCAGCAGTGCGCGTCCTGCGAGTAGCCGGAGTCGTGAATGCCCATTGCTGATGAATCCCATAGCAGGACGAAACAGCCGACCAGTGCTTCCAGGTATCTAATGATGGTCTAACGATGATTCATTCATGATCTCAGCATGAAAATATATATATATATATATATATATATATATATATATATATATATATATAGCCCAGTTTACTCATAATGTGGTACAAAGTAGCTAAATCAAATCAACATTTTAAACTGTTGACTATTGAACACGAAGTTTAGTTGTTTTAGTCCTTGTTCTCTCCTGCTAATTAATTTAAATAGTTTTAGTTATAGTTAAACCAATCAGAGCGCGTCATTCCATGATTCTTTCATTGAAATGTTGGGTTTCAGAAAAAATATGTACAGTGTGATAAAATTGTCAAGTGATATGTGTTTTGAATATAAACATAATATTCACCTCCGATATACTCTTCACTCAATAACATGTAGAGTTGTAGAAGTAACAATCCTATACTTACCTGTTGATACAGTTTTTGAAACACTGTGCCTGAATTCACTGCTATGATCCTAAACATTTGCATCATTATGAATAAAATTCCTGCATTCTCATCTTTATTTATGTTTTTCTTTTCAGAAAAAACTCTTAAGCTTCTGTTTTGTCCAATTAGTATGATCATTCGGGTACAGATCTGCTACATTAGTGACTTTGAGCTGCAGTTGAAGTGTAAGGTTTAGTTATATAATATCGGATTGCCTAAACTGAAGTAGAAGGACCATTATTCAAACGTACAACTTAATGGCTGAAATTCGAACTCTTTAACCACTAGGTCATCGGTCCATGTTCGAAATTATTAGGAATTGAGTTAATGATAGCCTGATTAATTTCACTACGTTACCTTATTTCTTACTAATAAGCTATCAATTAGACTAAAGGTGAATTTCATCATTGAAACTTTTTTGTATCAATACAGTAGCAGATTCTGTGTTCAATGATGTAACTAATATGATATCATCGATTCCCATATTGCTTCAAATGTTTCCATTTGTCAATAAAATATCTCAAACGTGTTATGATCGCATTAAAATATGTATCTATCAACATAGTGATAAAATATTTGTTGAGGCCTTATATGGGGGATTATTCTTGATACAATCTGTTTACTGTAATAAAATGGAAACAAATGATATTCATTCATTTTATTTCTATAGGATAAATATACATATACATTGAGGAATTGTTTGACTATCAGGGTACTATATATGACATGACTGCAAAGAAATATACAGAGAGTGATTAGCTAGTGTCAGCATTTCTAGGACAGGCATATAAATTCCATGTCTATATGAGTGAAATTTTTATTACTGTCCATGATTTGTTGTTTTGACATGTGACATTAATCGATGGCCGGATTTCAAGTGAACAAGTGATTACTAATGTACTAGAGATTTTAAAATTGTTTCTCAAACTACTTTAGATTAATTCAGTAGGATAGATACTATATTCGAATTTCAGTGTTTAAATTGATCGTAAAATCAACACAGCTGTGAAATTGAATAAATTTATCACATTTACATGAAAGGTTTATGAAGATTATTGAATTAAATTTTTAAATCAGTAATCCATCGCTGTTAGACAAACAGGATGCAAAATGCCGCCCAGTGTTTCCAGGTTTCTAATAGTGGTATAATATTATTCTTTTCATGATTTCCAAAAGTTAATCACATTGATTGTGCAATAAGTATCAGTAGTCATGTTTAAAACGTAATCAGGTGAATAGAATGAGCACCTTCAAGTGCACCAGGTAATGTAAACAAACTTTTTTCAGTAAAAATCAAATGGTTAGTGTTGATAAAAACTGTCAAGAGAAGCCAAAAATTCAACTTCATTCATTTTTATTACTACTGTTATCTAAACCATACATTAAATTATTGACCCATTATTATGAAACATTACTTGGTTCAATGTATTTTAATAAGACTACTGACCATTTATGAATCATTCCCGGAATTGGTAATGACTAATGCACAAATAAATCTTCATCGGAAGTCTTATACCCATTTCCGCATCAAGTCATGTAATTCTTGTCACTTGGTAATAAGCGGCAGTTAACAATTGATTTTTCTCGTGTTAAAACAAACAGACATACTAATATTTCATCCAATTACAACACTAATCATAAATATAATGTTGTCCAACAGAATACAAATTACTATCTAGAATAATTTGTCATAACAATAACACAATTTTACATTGATTAATGTATTCTACACTATTTTGTCATTAATCTCTTGTATTGTTCTTTAGAGTAGAGTATAAACTCTATGTACAAAGGCTCAAAAGTCATAAATCAATAATTATCAAGCTTATAAGACAATACGGATGAAATCTATCAAAAGATGAACTGGGAATTAACTTCTGTTTAATGAATTAAAAGTTTTTGAAGCCAACATGCCGTAAATAGTAATTTATTATAAGATATATATGAATAATATTGTAAGTAATATTATAGATCATAAATTATCTGTTAGATCTAACTTTATGCTGGACTGGATAGATTCATAATTTACACATTAATGAAACTATGAATCGATCAATGTTAGACCACAATTAGAAACTTGGAAGCACTGGAGGGCCCTTTCGTCCTAGTATGAGACTCTTCAGCAGCGCGCATCCACGACTCCCGCAACTCGCAGGATTCGAACCCACGCCATCCAGTATTGAGCGCGAACGCCTAACCATCGGACCACTGAGCCAGTATCTAACGGTGTTAATGTCTAACTTGATCAATTCACGGAGTTGCGCGACCTCATACACAGTCTTCTGTAGTTACCCTCTTCACCCGAACAGGTTGATCTTCACTGGTCGCGTCTCCCCACTAGAACTCGGAGAAGATTCCTCATGGAGATAGTCACTAGTGAGCACAGGTAATTTGCATTACGGGGTTGTGAAGACTGTTAAGTTACACATTTCTGAAACCATGAATCGATCAATGTTAGATCACCATTAGAAACCTGGAAACACTGGACGGCCGTTTCGTCCTGATATGGGACTCCTCAGCGGTGCGTATCCATGAATACTGCACCTCGCGAGATTCGGACCCAGGACCTGCAGTCTTGTGTGTGAATGCCTAACCTCTGCACCAATGTGTCGGCGCCTAAGAGCCGTGGACGAGTACTGATGGTGAGTCCTATACCAGGACGAGATGGCTGTCCAGCGCTTCCAGGTTTCTAATGGTTGCTTAACTATAAATGATTGGTGATTTGGATGTGTGAGAAAGCTGATCTCCAAAAACCAATTTTAATACATAAAACCACTAAACTGAATGACAGCTGCTTCAATCCCAAACATGATTACTTTAGAGACTGAAAGTTTGCATTGCTAAAGCACGCTAACGAAAACAGAACCTAAATTCAACCAATGTTTCACTGCCTATAAAAGCTTTTATTCCGTATATATTACAGGTTTTACCTAATTATGGAATTATCGTATTTATTGCAAGGCTTAAAAGTTTAAAAATCATCCGTTGAATTGAACATTAATTGCTCATTGTTTTAAAGTTTTTTGAATAAAAATTCATAATCTTCATTGCTTCCAGATAGTTTAATTGTTTTCTTACGCAGCTAATATCTAAACCATTATGTTATTGACCACTGATTCATAAAGGTAATCACATATCTTAGAATTAATTAAAGTATTATTTCACATTGAAATCATGAATGAATCAATGTTAGACTACCATTAGAAATCTGGAAGCATTGGTTGGCCATTTCATTCCAGCATGAAACTCATCAGCAATGTTAGCCGCAGGGTTCGAACCCAGGACGTTCGGTCTTGCACATGAACTCTTAACCTATGGACCACTGAGCAGGCATCCTACAGTGTGAATGCCTAACTTTGATCAATCTAAGGATTTTGCACAATCTCATCCATTGCCTTTGGTAGATAACTGCCTACACTCGACCAGGGTTGAACTCCACTGGCCACGTCTTCTCATTGGAACTCAGAGAAACTTCACCCATGTAGCTAGTTACTAGTGAACACATTTTATGATTTTTGGAATGTAAAATACCGAAGATGGTTGTTTTACATTATATGCTACAAAAGGAAAAATAAAAACTGGTAGACAAAAATATTTTTGTTATACTTACACACACACACACGTAGGAAGGATCATGACGCTAAATGCAAAGTGTTTCTGTTGTTATTTTATTTTTCTGTTGATACAACTAAATGATTTGTACACACACATGATTTCTGATGAAATTTCCTGTTCCACCGCACCGGATAACTAACTAACTAACTAACTAGATTAATTGATGCATAACAAATTACTGTTACTACTACCGTGTTGTTCCATTTTTTTTATGATGATTATTAATTTTCAGTGAAAAGTAAATATTTATGTGTTTGTGTGTGTGTGTGTATGGATAGCAGCAAGTTAACTTTGTATACAGAAAGAAACAGACAAGTTAGTAGGCAGTAGTATAACAATCAAGCAGTTTGAACAGTATTATCAATGCACAGTGATGTATGTCTATCTGCATATATCTATATAAACTAGTTTATTTTATGAGTATAAGACGTAATGATAATGATCAAATGTTCCTGTTGGCTTAGATCAAAACGAAATATCAATCGTTTATTTTTCCTGCTTAATATATATATATATATATATATATATATATATATATATATATATATATATATCACTTAACAGTATGTAAATAGGAGTGATAGTTATTAAAGATAAAACCATAAAGATTTTTCGTATTTAAATGATTCCGAATTCTGATAATAGAGATGAATTTTGCAGTTCTCTCATTTATATTAGTACGAGGTGTAGCGTGTGATTGTTGAATGTAATCACACCTTTGAAAAAAAGACTATTGTTTAAGGTTTTACAATCTTCTTGGTGTTGCTGTTAAAGATCAGATATTGATTATTCTTCTGAATTGGATTGTCTCGATATTTCCATTATTAAAGTAAGATTATTTAAGGACTGGCAATGAAATACAAGGCGCGTCTTGTCACGGACTTATTGACTGAATGTACCTGTACTAGGATTCATTTCCTAGTATAAACAATGGAAAGATTCAGGTATTTACAAATAAGTACTGAAACTTATCTGTGTTGCTGAAATCATCAATCAATCATTGTTAGACCACCATTAAATACTTAGTTTCGTCCTGATATGGGAATCATCAGCAGTGCACATTCAGAACTCCTGCCATTCACAGAATTCGAAACCGGGATCTTTGGTCTTGCGCAGTAACGCTTAACCTTTTTACCACTGGGCAGGCATCCGACTGTGTTAATGTCTAACTCTGATCGATCTAGAGATTTTGTGAGATCTCACACCCAACAGGGTTGAACTCCACTGGTCTCACTTTCTCACTAGAACTCCGTGAATTTCCACACGAAGTTAGTCAATAGGGAACACATTGTTCGATTCTTCAATTAGAGTTATGGAGATTGTTGATTATTACTGAAATCATGAATCAGTTATTGAGTGTTTAGTCCCAATGGCTCAGCGAACAACACAGCAGACGTTTGAAGTGAAAGTTAGTGGATTCAAGTCACTGACTGAACCGGAAAGAAATGAGCACTGCCAACCACTACTATTCTTCAGTGAAATACTATTATTTAATATCAGTGATGCAAACTAATAAAGACTTTAGTTACGCTAAACTCTATACTTTGGAGTTTAAGCTATAGTCAGTTAGTAACAACAGAGAACTTCGTACGTAAGTAACATCAGCTGAAGTTGTCATACAACATTAGCACAGAGATGCAATTGTCAACTCAAATCCCATAGAGGTATATATTATAGAAGTATCAGCGGTAATAGAGAAGACTACGGTTCGAAGGAATTATTCATGAAGTATAATTCAGTGATGTAAATTTATAAAAAGGAAGACAGAAGTGATGAGGAATTCAGAAGACTAGAATTCGGGAGAAGTCGAAGAATGGATACATAGGCACCACTGCAAACGATTTTGAGCCATGTCGTTCAAGGTCTCTAACCACTGATCACTATCGTCTCGCGGAACCCAACCAAGTAGTATAGTTTGATCAATAAATACTTCATTCATGCTAAACTTGAAGTACAAGCTATAACTCACCTATTTCAATACTAATAACCACTGAATTAGGGATAGCTGTTCAAATTATCAAAACTATCGGTTTACAAAAAGTAACTTTTCCAGATTCTTAGCTTACTATTCAAAATTGGTCTTGGAACGATTCCACCTATAAACGACGAAATAAGTTTAAGATTGACAGAGAGAGATAGAGAGAGACAAAGCTAATTCGATTCATTATCCTATATCTCATGAAACATTCAGTACGTAAACAAAAATCGTATTTAAACAGATTTTTTTTCGAAAATAAAAACAAATTGACCGATTCTTTTAACTTACTCCATATTGCAGAGGAGATTTTGATTCTAATTTCATATCTGTTCTCAGCTCTGATTGTTCATCAGGTAATTCTGAATAATAATTTAAACAAAAAACATGATTCATATAAACAAACATATATATTCAGTAATTAAATTGACAATTTAATGATAGTTGTTTGTATTGTTTCGGGATAAACATTGATACTCTACAACTCATATCATTCATTCAATGAATAATTCAAGCAGAAAACTTAAGATGAATGAACATATAGTACCAATGTATTGATTACTGAAGACAAGTATCACAATTCCTTGTCACAAGAGTTCAGAACAAGTTAAATAGAGAGTTCTATTTAGTTGACAGCAGAATATAAATGAACTTGAGTAGTATTCCTTATTGAAAATACATTTTAAAATATCAAATACCCTTTAAATAAAAGTTTTTATCATACAATAATATTTGACTATTCAAAAACCTGTATGCATTCGACACATATATATGTTACACATTTTTTGAAACCATAAAATCGATCAACATAAGACCACAATTAGAAACCTGGAAGTACTGGACGGCCGTTTCGTCCTCGTATGGGACTTCTCAGCAGTGAGCATCCACGACTCCTGCATCCCGCGGGATTCGAACCCTCGACATGTATTGTGCGCGAATGCCTAACAATCGGACCAATGAGCTGGTATCTAACGGTGTTAATGTCTAACTTGATCAATTCATGGAGTTGCGCAACCTCATACACAGTCTTCAGTAGTTACTGTCTACACCCGAACAGGTTGAACTTCGCTGGTCACATCTTCCCACTAGAACTCAGAGAAGATTCCTCACGAAGCTAGTTACTAGTGAGCACAGGTAATTCTCATTACGGGGTTGTGAAGATTGTTAAGTTACACATTATTGAAACCATGAATCGATCAATGTTAGACCACCATTAGAAACCTGGAAGCACTGGACGGCCGTTTCGTCCTGATATGGGACTCCTCAACAGTGCGCATATGTTTGTGAAAATCAACTTTATTCTGTGAATCACTGAATATCTTCTGTTTAGAAATAAATACATTTGTTCTACGGTCTATTTATACCATTATGATATCAGCTAGACACTCTGTGTGTGTGATCAACTCTCTGGTAAACCCTGTCATCAGTGAAATATATGTATGCATAATACAGAAAACTCAACCAAATGAATCTTAAAATGTTTGTATTGGAAAACTGGAAGCACTGAACGGCAGTCTCGTCCTTGTATAGGACTCTTCAGCAGTGCCCATCCACAACCCCCATCATCAGCGAAATGTCATTTATATTCCGGAAAGTTATTTCATTTGATTCTTAAAATGTTTGCGTTACTCTTCTTGTAATCGCTGTGTATATGCACTGGATATATATTTTTGACAAATACATTTTACCGATTATTGATAATTTATTTGTTTCCTAGAATCATGATTACATTAAAAGAATGACACTAAAAATTGTCCAGATGAAATTCGATACTGATTGATTTATTCATCATATAAAATAGAGTGATTAAATTATAATGTTTTTTTCTTCAAATACAGAGTTATGGAGATTGTTGTTTTTCGTAGGAAATTAGGAGTCGATCATTATTCGAAAATCATCAGAAAATTGGAAGCACTTGATGGACGTTTCGTTCTAGTATAGGACTCGTCAGAATTGCTTATCCACGACTCCCACAGGCGGAAATCAAACCAAAGACCTTTGGTCTCATAAGCGAACGCTTACTCTTTAAACCACTGAGCCGACATCCAACGATGTTAATATCTAATTTCGATCAGTCTAAGTACTTTGCGCAACCTCATCGATTACCTTCAGTAGATAACTGCCTGAACGCAACACTAAGACAACACATCTTTTCAGTGCTTTCAGGTTTCTCATGGAAGTCTACCAATGATTGATTCATGATTGCAATGTGTATTCTAATCATTTGGCTCACACTGTCAAAATTATTCAGTAATAGTTCATGTTGCTTATTGCAAAACAATATAATTTTTCCTTGAAACCTTGAAACTGACTGACAATCATGTACAGTTTTTGGTTTCTTTATCCGTTCACCGAAAACGTAAACGAATGTGTCATTAATCAGAAGAGTTTTAATTAAAATTTGGTCAACCTTCTATTTGACAAACATGATTACATCCAGTTCGAATAGCTAAAAAAAGATGTGCTAAGTCCCACTGCTAGCTGCTACAGTTCTTCTATTCTACATAAAAGACTGAGTTTGAATTCTGCGGCTAGCAAGTGTCGTGGGTGCGCACTGTTGATGAGTCCCATACCAGGACGGAATAGCCTTTCGGTGCTTCCAGGTTTTTAGTTGTGGTCTAACAATGATTCATTCATGATTCAAATGCCACTTTTAGTCTTAGCATCTTGCTCAATGTTTAACTTTACTTATGACACCTAATAACGGGACAATTTCAGTAGAATTATTTTTACTATTGTTCATTCGTACAGAAAATGACGTTTATCACTAACGGAATGCTTTATGGAGGCTTAAAATTAAAAGCTACTTTAGTCGGATTATGTATAACTGAATAAGCGCAAACTATGGATTTATATGCTTAAGATATGAAATAAATTATGGAGATCAGAAGTATTTGTTCGTCACAAAAACTTTGCGTATTTAAAAGAAAACTAACTTCAGTTGACGTCACGCATGTTCGATGCTAGAAAAAATGAACGAACTTAAGGTTTATTTGCTATGTCCCTAGATATATTATGGATTCACGTACATCTCATTGTTACTCGAATCCAAGTAACCTTGATGTCAAGCGATTCGTTCAAGCATCTACAGTTAACATCACTTATCTGATAACTTATTTCATACAAGGGAACATGCATGTACAAAAGTTGCACAATAAATTGAATTCATCGCATGTCAATGGCTTACACCAGGTCCAAACAATTCGAAGTTACAACAAATGAAATGACTGACATCAGTTTAAATCTACACGTTTATATACGATTGATGAAAAACTTTGAAATACAGCGGAATAAATCCAATTTATTTGCTGAAATCTTATTATCTCGTAACTTTCTTTTTTAAAAAAACAAACAGGGAAAATCTATATCTTATAGAAAGTATTCACATTAGGGAAAAGTTTTCCGTTATAACTGTAAAATGTCAGTCAATTTAAAGCTTCCAACTGTTTTATAACCCTACTCTATACACTGATCAAATTGTTACACACACACACACACAATCATAATAATAAAAACATTATTACATCACTGCATTTTATATTATCTGATTACAAAAGGTCAGTTATTTGGTAAATCCATATGTCTTCTCCCCCCACCACACACACGCACACACACTACCCAATGGATTACTGACCTTCAATTAAAAGCGACAGATAATCTGTGAAGAATTATTGTGTCATAAATTTGTTGCCCGTTGTATCATAAGGATCGCTGAAAACATAAATGTTATCAAATGGATTAACCTTTATTCATTGCATAATTGCACATTTATGAACTAGCACATAGGTGCTAGGTGTGTACGTGTGTACGTGTGTCTGTGTAAACCTAGATAAATAGATTTATTTCATAGAATAACAACATTGTTACAATAGCCGTTATTCCGCAGTGCATGTGCTGTTCTACGTTTGGTTAACTCTTCACACTTCTTCTATCAACATTGTTACACCAGTTCTTATTTAAACAAACAAACATACAGTTTGTTTTAACCAATTAAATTTACTGCCTAAACTTCATACATCTATGTAAATATATATACACTGAATGAAATCGACACGAGTACACAAACTACAAACATATATGTATATAATTAAATTATCTTGACTATTTGTGTTCTATATATTGTACACACACACATGTATGCTTGAATGTTGAATGTTGATTTAGAAAGCCAAAAAGCGAAAAAAAAATCAATATTTCTTCCATCTCGTTAGAAAAAAAAAACTCAACTACATGATTGTATGCGCATTGGTTAGAGACGTAAAGGTTAACAAGTATCAGCATTTTTAAATGCAATGAAATAAATGCATTCATTATTTTAGTGATTAGTATTGAAAGAAACAGTGTTTAATTTAAATGATTAGTGATTATGAAAGTGTTAAAAATATTTGCTGTTGAATAATCAATCTAGTAGTTACATTGTTGTTTTTCTCATTTTTAACATACAAACAACCAAACATGAATGCAGAAAGTGGTATAAATGTAGAGAGAGAGATAGAGACAAAAAAAGTGTGTTCATTACTACTGTTTAGCATTGGGATATATATAGATATATATACATATATAACATATGGGGGAAGATAAATTTTTACATGTTTCGCTTCGTTTTCCAAAAGTAAGGTCATCATCATAATAAGGGTGTGCAAGATAAGATAAGTGTGCCTAAAAATAAAGCATATTGAATATTTTTTTTTGTGTAACTAAAAGAAGGCATTGTTATAACATGTGTTGCGCGCTGGTGAAATATATATATATATATACATAAATATGCGCTGGTTTTTCTTAGCTTTGGCTTTTTGTTATTCTAGACAGTTATCCATTAGTAATTAAGTATTTGATCACTGCTATAGGAAGTTTTTTCTACTTACTTTCACCTATTACCCATAGAGGAGTAAAGACAGCCAACCAGTATTGTCCAACCTACTCAGTCCTACGCCTTCTTTTCTAGATATATCCAGCTAGTGTTCATTCTTCTGATGTCTGTCTCTAATTTTCAGCGCAGTGTGCTTTTTGATCCTCCTCTCTTCCTTTGGCCTTGAGCATTTCAAGTGAAAGCTTGTCTTGTTACGCGGTGTCCTATCCACTTCCTGATTTCTTACTCCGCTGTTATCTGGTTTGTTTGCTCTCACAATAGGTTGGTGTTGATAGTGTTTGGACAGTGAATCCAAAGTATTTTGCGTAGACAAGTATTAAATATTGCTTGTATCTTCTGGATGATGGCTTTTGTAATTCTTCAAGTTTCTGCTCCATACAGTAGAACTGCCTTGACATTAGTATTGAAAATCGTGACTTTGGTGTTTGTTGACAGTTGTTTTGAGTTCAAATGTTAAAATGCAGCCCTTGCTTTGCCGATCCTCGCCTTCAC